TCACAACAAACACCTGACCAGGATTTTAACCAATGACAACAGCACCAAAACTGGTCAGATAGACGGGTCTGACTGGGCAGTCACGCTCACAACCTAAATCCCTAGCGGGAGCATAAGCGCATCTACCGGCAGAGAAGCAAGTGCTTGAGAGCTGCCAGCGTACATCAGGCTACAAGAATCATGGTTTACTGATGTTGGCATAACACACACACACACACACACACACACACACGACAGTTCGACTGTCGTTTCTGACGATACCCACTGCATGCTTCACATCAAAGCGAGAGCAGGAACGGTGACTTGCACGGCATCTACCGCACTCTCTGTTCCTGTTCTCCACCTGGACTCAACGTCAAAAAGAGCGGAGGTGGGGGAGGGCGCATGTAAATGGCATGGTCAAGCTGGCACCTTGACGTTCCATTCCACGCCCCCTGGTCCACATAGCAAATGACCAGGTTTTTCACCAATAACAACAATGTGGGAGGGTGACAGGGGGGGTCCCAGTGTGCGCACGTACGCCGGCAACGGGGTCCGCCGCTGTACCCCGAAATGTTGGCATTTAGTACGGGGCACAAATCCAATAACGCCTGCCAGAATCCGATATGGCCCCCCTGTTGAGCCAGCGCAACTATCACGTGGCCCGTTGGGGGTCACGCACATGCGGGGACGCGGGGGGGACCCACATCGGCACAGCTTTGGATGCACTAACGACCCAGATTGCGAATCTTGCGTCGTCTTGCCGACTGAATAGCAAATTCCGGAAACCGTACTAAACTGTCCTCAACTCTACGCATACTGGACCTCAGAGTTTACTTCCGTGTCCGCATTCAGGTTGGTTCATCTAATAACCAGACACCAGGCCACACCTCTTTTTCTCAGGCAAATACACGTCATCGCGATCCAGGTGTGTTGCAGTTTCGTCCGCTCTGAACGACACGGCGAGATTCGTGTTTTGTCCGGAGACCACCAGGCAAGCGATTAAGCTTTGACGAACCGCGTAGTCTGGCTCACACTAGGAGCACAATCTGACCCAGTTTTCGATGGCTGTTCAGTCCAACGTAAATAAGAGACAGCACGAACCCTCTGTCGAAGGCAGGTTGAACTGCTTCTCGGACGTCGGGAAGTGGGTGCGCGCAATGCCTCAGGCAGATCAACGGCCGTAAGGTTTTGTGCAACAACTGTCGCGGCTGACAGCTTGGTGACTATAAAGTAAGCGATTGCTTGCAGAACCGTAAAGTCTAGTTACACAGGATGACCGCAGTTTTCTTTTAGGAGAGATTTGAAAGAAGGGGACGGGACCAGTCCATGGGTTGTGGTAATTTCTTTTCAAGTGGGCGAAATGCTATTGCGACGCTGTTTTTTGTGTGGGTATTCAGCACACGGCCATTGACTGTGTCGGGAGACACTGCCGTTCTCTCTCTCTCACACACATTCTCCCCTTTCATTTTCGGCTCGAGTTACGGACTTTTATTTTACATTTTCTTTGAGCAGGTGCCGACTTTCCTAGATAGTCTCCAGTGAAAGGCTGGGCATACAGTGCACCTCAGGCAATACTGAGGAACGTCAAATAAAATCCCACGTTGTCGTATGCACGATTGCATATCCCATGGACGGTATTTCACCACTCACTACTGTTTTGGATGTCAACTAATCCAGGATCACTAAACTTCAGTAGGAATTTTGTGTCAGGTGCGTCAACCCCCAGACACTCGATTTACTTCAGCATGGACGAGCCTGCGTACAGACAGTCACGCGCCATTTGAACAGAAGGCGCTTGAACTTGCTGACGCAAACCCCCTTAAAGTAACTGACATCAGATACGCACACTCTCTCCGCCGTCGGTTAGTGTCTCCTTGGTAAATGATTACGAACATCCCTTCTTCGACCCAAAATTGGACGGTTGAAGCCCTTCTCGGGGTGGCTCTCCGAAATTTAAACATTTCGCTGGGAAGTCTGCCAGCCGGAAAACCAGCATGCTACTGAAGTGGGCTTTCTGTCAGTTGCATTTCGGTCACGTCGGGGTTACCAATTTAAAGTGGCTCAAAAACGAGTGTTTTGGGAGCACCAAAACCATGATGTCGATTTCTGGAGACGAAAGACGCCGCAGTTGCAGCAGTGACAGTTGATAAGGTCAGGGTGTTCACGTCCTATCGTCCGTCTCAAAGTCCTAGAGGGAGTTTTACACAAAGTCGACGTGGCGCTGAGTTACATGTTCACACAGGTCACGGAAGACGCATTGAGCAGACGTATTTCTGCAAAAAAATCGCTCCAAAATGGCTGACTACAAAGTTTAAAAAGTGGGTTTTTACACAAAGACTGAAAATAAGCAGTCATCGGTCTCTATCGATTCATGATGACGTGAAATCACTTTTATTTCGGTCCACAACATCTGATGCTCAAAACACCACAAGCCCTGATGAAATAACTCTCAAACATTGCTTGAAGATTTTCTCCCCCATCCCAACAAGTCAAAAGTGCATCGAGTGTCGCCGTTGCTTAGTCCAATTGTTGAAGTGTTAGAGGCGTTGGTGTTCAAACATTACCAACCACAGTTGTGGATACGCTACATTGGTGGCACGCTTGCCAGCATCATTTAGACAGGAGTGGGAAATTCACTTAGCATCGAAATTTAGTCTTCCAAGATATCCAATTCAGGAGAGAAAAAGGAAAGACCGTCAGCTGCCGTTCTTCGACGTGTTTGTCTGCAGAAATAGCAAGGGGAAACTCAAGATGGTGATGGGTGAGAAAGAAATGAGTACCTCTTGTGTTCTAAACCCCTCCCTTCCGTGCAACCATTCGATTTGGGACAGTTTGCAAATGCCTAAGAACACCTTTGTCGTGTATAAATATATTGCAGTGAGCTGCACGGGAAAAGGGACATCCTTCAACTCATCTCTAAGCTCTTCGAAACTAACCGACACTCACTACAGTTCTGTCAAAAGATGCAGGCTAAAGACTAGAGGAAGAAGCCCGAGAACATCGAAAACCAATGAGAAAAATGCATGCTATTTAAGTAGTCATTTTTGCACGTTTCTTTACACGTTGCTGAAAAGAAGTTCTTTCGAAAGCCGGCATCATGCGGCAACTGAATTATTATAGACTTATGCTGCTTGATGATTAGTCTTCCAAATCTGCCTAATTAATCTTTTCGAAACGAAAACGCATTTCGGAATTTCGGTTGACATTTAATGAGTTAACCCACCTACTGCACCTCTGGTTGCTGCGCGACTGCCTGCGAGGGTTCTGGTATGAGCCCAAAAGCACAACGCAACGATCACGTTCTGTAACCTGATCATGAGCGCCCATCTATCATATATATATATATATGTGAAGGTGATACCGACAAAGACAAGGGAGACCGGAATGGCCATTTCTGGCTTATGAGCCGTCATCAGCCAGTCATACCCAACCCCAAGTGTGGATCACTTGAGATTCGAACCCGGGATCTTTGGTCATGGAGTTGAACGCTCTACCATTGGGCCACGGGCCCGTTGTCCTGTCGGTTGTGATCGGGAATATTAATTATGATAGTGGGCGCTCACCGATCAGGTTACGGAACAGGCTCGTTCCTTTGTGCCTTGGGGCTCATACTTAAACCCTCGCAGGCAGTCGCACTATCATAATATATATATATATATATATATATATATATATATCCGTTCATCATCCCCAAATGAAGACGAAGAAGAAAAAGAGGTGATGCCATGGACCACACTGTATTGGTGCTGACGTTTCGGAAACTTCCTCGTTTCCATCATCAGAGTAGTGGTAGGGTGTTTGTTCCTGCTAGCTCAGAGTTGTTCTGTCTCGCCGCCTGTCTCGTGTTGTAGGCATGCCTGCTACATGAACTCTGACCTGCCTGCTGGCGGGGGATTAGATTAGGTCTCTCCGTGGCCGACCGCTGGGGCGCTGGTGTGACCTCTGCCCCCTGCCCGGCCGCTGTTGTCGCTGCTAGGTCCGTGTGCCCTTGGGCCCTCCCCCCATAATTTGACTGTCTGATCAGCTGCCGTTGCATGTGGGAATCAGGGTCGGCTGTTTGGGCGCGTCGGTGGGTCGATACCTCGCGTCGGTCGTCTGACACCCGGCTGGCTCTCTCCCCCTGCTGGGAAGGTGACAGCTGTTGAGAGAGCCGCGATTTGTTCGCCAGTGCTGTCGGCACCGTCCGAACTGACTGGAGCCTCGTACGAAGGGCCTGGTAGGCCGGATAAAGATCAATGGCTCTGTTTATTGTGTCAACTGAGGACCAACTTTCGAGAACCAGTCTGGCCATCTTGTCGCTCGCTCGGCCGATGACGCTCGCCTCCCCAAAGGCGAAACTGTGCTTCTCCTGTTGTATGTGGCCATATACCAGTGACAGCTTTTCCTCGCGGTTGACTGCAAGCTGGTGCTCGTGCAATTTTGTGCAGAGGCGTTTGCCGTTTCACCAACATACCTTGAACCGCAATCTTGGCAAGGTATGCTGTAGACCACTGCTGATTGTTCCGTTGCAGGTTGCTGGTCTTTGGGCCTGATTATCTGCTGCCTGATAGTGGATTCCGGTTTATGGGCCACGCCAATCCCAAAGGGGCTCCGGATTCTTGCTGTCGCCTCAGAAACGTTCATCTGCTGCCTGATAGTGGATTCCGGTTTATGGGCCACGCCAATCCCAAAGGGGCTCCGGATTCTTGCTGTCGCCTCAGAAACGCGAGCCAGAACTTCGACTTCCCATCGTTAGATCGTTGGCGGTCAAGTCTTCTTTGGCACTCACGTATGAAGGATCGTGGGTAACCATTGGCTGTGAATATGGAATGCAGGTACTTCACTTCCTCCCTTCTCCCGTCGTTGTCATTACAGTGTGTTTGAACTCGTTGGAAAAGAGCTCTGACACAACTGCGTTTGTGACCGATGGGGTGGTTACTCCGGAATTGGAGGATGCGTCTGGTATTCGTTGCCTTTCGGTATACCGTAGTTCTGATCCCCCCATTAGCCATTCTTGTGATGTTTACGTCAAGGAAGGGCTACTGGTTGTTGTACTCCTCTTCCATTGTGAAATGGATGTCGGGGAATATTGAGTGCAACAACACTTTGAAGTCCTGAACGTCGTTCCTCTTGATTACGACAAATGTGTCGTCGACGTATCTGGCCCAGAATTTTGGGGAGTACGAACGGAAGACCAGTCGCTCGAGCCTCTGTAGAACAGCCTCGGCAATCAGTCCAGACAGCGGGGAGCCCATCGGTGTTCCCTTCTTTTTTTCGTAAACCCGGTTGTTGAAAGTGAAGAAAGTTCTGAGGCACAATTCCAGGAGTTCGATGACGTGCGTTCGTTTAAGCCGTTGATCAGTTTCATCGTACTTCTCCTGAAGAAGCTCGTTAATGGTGCTGATGGCAAGGTCCGTTGGAATGGAGGTGAATAAGGAGACCACATCAAACGATATCATCAAACGATATATATATATATATATATATATATAAGAGATAGTACCGACAAAGACAAGGGAGACCGGAATGGCCATTTCTGGCTTATTAGCCGTCATCAGCCAGTCATACCCAACCCCAA